CCGTGGATCGCTGTCTGCAGAAACACTCTGGAAAGTCTGGTGCACCCTGCACCGAGCCCCTCCTGCGGTAGAGAACAGGCGAGGGGAGGGGAGGAGACTCCCTTCCTGTCTCTGTGGACCCCACTCGGTCCGGGGTGGGAGAGGCCAGATTCCTGTCTAATCAATCATCCTCTCATCAGCCTCAGCCTTTGCTCCCCAGAGCCCAGCTTTTCTCAGTCCGTTAAGTCTGTTTCTTCATTCGTCCTCTGTCCGGAACAAACTTGGTGTAATGTGAACAGAATAAGCTTGTGCTCGCAAAGGACTTGGCTATAAAAGCCTCCCAAATGCTTTGAATTACGCTCTAATTGCAGTGAACGTGGAGAGTAGCATTCCTGGCGTAGGTAAATGAGGGGCCCCCCAGGGCCGAGGCTCAGCGCCAGGGAGCAGGAAGCCCACCAATTGGAAAGAGGGTCGCCCTCTTTGGGGACTGGGCAGGGCTGTGAGTTACTGGCGGAGCTGTCAGCAGAGGGAGGGTGGCCAAGTATGCGTGCACCCCCTCTTCTAGAGAGCTGAGATGGTGCCAACTCTGGCACCTCCCTTCCCGGGGCTGCTCCCCAAAGCACCGGAAAGGGGTCTTAAGGAATCCCCACTGGTGAACGTTTGCCAGTTTGGGGGGGCTTCCGGCAGGAAAGCCCCGCTATGACAACGCTGTGTGCTTTCCCAGGGCGTGTTTGCTGAAGGTGGGTGTCAGCTTTGCTCGATTTAAGTCGTCCCAGATTCCCTGCGAAGACTATAAACAGTGAGTGATGAAATCGGCCCTGCAGCCAAGACGGGGAGGAGACCCAGTCCCCAGGGGCAGCAGCGAAGCACCACGAGGGGTGGAGAGAGCCAAATCACAGGCAGGAATGGGATGGCCTGTGCTGGGGACGGGAAGGGATACCTCCCCAAGGGACGCCGGCCCGGCGGCGGCGGAGGCTCTGGCTGGCTCTGAGGGTCAGGGAGGGCCCGCCCGGCGGAGGCTCTGGCTTTGAGGGTCGCTGGGCGGCGCTTGGGGTGGGGTGCGCCGGCGCAGACAGCTCGCGGGAGCGCAGGAGCCCAGCGGCCCGGAGCCCGAGGCCTCGGGAAGCTGGCCGGCCTCCCCACACGCTGGGGGCAGGTTGATGGGGGCGCAGCAGCGGGGCCAGCGGGGTGCAGGGCTGGTGTCTTAGCGGGCTTACAGGAACAGCTGTACCGCCGTGCCCGCTCGGGCGCCAGCCCTCGGCCCTGGCACGGGCACGCAGGGGCGCGCTCACCCCGGCGCGCTCAGCCACGCGGACGCGGACCGTGAGAGACAGTGACCTGCCTCGCCGAAAGGACCCCGGGCCCGGGGCTGTGACCCCCCACGCCACCCTGTTGCTTCAGCTGTAGAATCGGGGGCGCTGATTCGCCATGGCCAGCGCTAGCGGTGTGGACCTCAGTCTCCCCTGACATTCTGTGGCCTCAGGCTGCTGCCCGAGCTCCCAAGTGACTCCACCTGCGGGCAGGGGGACAGGTGTTTGCTGAGCATTTCTGTGTCACCTGTGCCCGGGCTTTGGATCAGCGAAGGAGATGGACGCTCACCCGGCCGGTCCTCAGTGGGGCCGGAGCGGCTGTGCTTCAGGATGGAAGAGCAGCGGACCCTGCGAGGGGCAGGCGAAGCGCCGGACACTAGCTAGGCTGCCCCTGCCGGGAAGCCCCAGGCAGTGGCAGGTGGTGACCGCGGACTGGCAGAGGGCCTCCTGCCACGCGGGGCCCACGGCCCCCTTTCCTGCTGCATCCTGGCAGCGGCCTCATCCACCCGCCGCCTGGCTGGGGGGACCCCAGGGGACACAGCATGGGGTCAGTGGGGTTGCTGGTGCTTCGGGCTCCGCCAGGGCTCCGTCACAGGTACCCCCTGCCGCCCCCGAAGCCAGCTCCCTCCCTGACCAGCAGTCAATGGCTCCTGCGCCTTAGAGGAGGTAGAGGCTCTAGAAAAGATTTCTCGGCTTCCCCATAAGCAACACCCTTGCGGCCCCTGACCTGTCATGAAAGAGAGGCCTGGGGCTTACCTGTGTGGGGTGCTGTGGAGGCAGCCTGCAGGGGGTCCCAGCCCCCTTAAAAAGGAAGCCAGGAAAAACTTGGAGCTTCTACTTGCAGTGCTACTGGCTTGAAATAGTTTAGGCGGATAACACGTGGGTGCCAGACGAGACACTCCAAATGCGCAGTGAGCCGGAAAGCCAGGAGTGCCTCGCCGATTATACGGGGCGCTGGGCCTGGCTGGCGCAGTCACCAAGAGGGACCGGAGCGGACTCGGGTGCAGGAGCGGGGTGGGGCGGGAACCGGCACCCACAGTGGCTGCGCCCGCCCGTCACCGGGCATCACCCTGGAGGGTGTTTGCTTTGTTGTGGGCCCAGTCCTGGCTTCAAGCTCACCAGCAAGAGGTGGGGGAGTCCCCTCCTCCCTACCAGAGAGCTGACAAGGAAACCGGGGGCTGGGGGGTAGCAAAGTACAGAATGGGGAAGACCCAAGTCTGCCCCCACATGGGCCTGGGGGTCCCGCTGTATTCTGTGAGCGCAGTGGGGTGAGTCAGTCCTGAAGTCGCACTCAGTGACCCCCCTCGGCCGCCCCCTGGCATCCTGATGGAGGAAATCCCTGCGGGGGGTAGGGGGCAGCCACAACCCCTCGCAAGTCCCCTGGTGGATCGGGGTGCCATGTGGCTGCCCTTCCACACCCCAGCCCATCCCTCGGGGGCACTGTGGTCACCCCCGCCAGCACACGCCAGCTTCACCGACCTTCGTAAACAAATACCTTGAAACATCTGCGGGCCCCATGAAAGGCGCCCTTCTTTAAAACTCCACCTGGAAAGAAGATCAACAGCACAGCAGGAAAATGGGCAAAGGCCACGGTCAGCTTCACAGAGGCGCAGCCCAGTCCGCACTGGCAGGCGCCTGGCCCTGGGCAAAGGAAGCTTGGTGGCGATGCGTGCCACCGGGGGAGGACCCCAGGTAGGGCAGAGCTGACGGGAGGACCAGCTGGGGGGGCCCAGCCCTGTGCTTGGGGTGGGGGCCTTGGTCCCCCCTTTGCAGGCGGAAGCTGACCCAGTGAATCAGATTTTTTAAAAGCTGTATTTATTTGTGCACACAGAACTGGGGTACAGGCCAGAGGTGCAAGGGGCTGAGAGGACTCACCAGAGATAGAGCGGGGAGCAGAACAGGCAGATAAACAAAGTACACTGCTGAGGGGAGCAGCGGGCGGGTCAGGAGAGGTCTGCCGGGCCCTGGGGGTCACCTCTGGGCGGGGATCGAACTCGCACTGAAGTGGCTGTGGTAGCTTCCTAGTGCTGTGCTTTAACCGTTGCGCCACCAGGGAGGG